AAAAAGAAATTGGCACCCTGATCAGTCAGCAGCCACCAACATTAAGGTAAGACCCTCCACCAGCAAAAAGGTTATGACTCACTGAAAGCTCAGATAATCCTTACCATTTTTCAGCAATAAAATACCTTTAATTACCTCAATGAATCCCCAACAATAAATTTTTTTTTAAAATACCTTTAACTGGGTGGTACCTGTGGCTCAAAGAGATAGGGTACCAGCCCCATATGCCAGAGGTGGCGGGTTCAAACCCAGCTCTGGCCAAAAAAAAAACCTTTAATTACATTTTGTACTTTTTAAGATGAAATAGTATTGCACACTTGATAGACTACACACTAGTCACTATAGTGTAAACATAACTTTTTTTTCTGAGACAGAATCTCACTTTTTCACACTGTGGGTTGATCCTATTAGATTGTGAAATCAATTTAATGAGTTACAACTAGAATATTTTTTCTATAGTGTGTATACTTTTAAAAAACTTTTTTTTTTTTTGAGACAGTTTCACTTTGTCATCCTCAGTACAGTGCTATGGTGTCATAGCTCACAGAGACCTCAAACTCTTGGGCTCAAGCAATTCTCTTGCCTCAGACTCCCAAGTAGCTGGGACTACAGGTGCCCGCCACAGTGCCCGGTTATTTTTAGAGACGAGGTCTTGCTCTTGCTCAGGCTGGTCTTAAACCTGTGAGCTCAGGCAATCCACCCGCTGTAATCCTAGCCTCCCAGAGTGCTAGGATTCGTAACTCCCCATTTTCCCCTCCCTCCAATCCCTAGCAGCCACTATCCAGTTCATTGATTCTACATTAGGAACTTCATATACTTGGAATCACGCAGTATTTTTCTTTCTGTGTTTCCATCTTTCAATGAAATAGAATATGAAGGTAGTAAGTGTGAGTGTTGTTTCCCGAAGATTTTGTGTTACTTCTCTGGGTTTGTGTGTGTGTTAGAATGTATTTCATACCCTGCTTCATCATTAACAAAGTTTTCAAGGTGGCCCTGGAGAATGTGCATAGTAAGTCTTATATTGAGTGCTCTCATTCATTCATTCATTCATTCAGGGAATGCTGAATGGCTGTTATGCCAGGTACTATTCCGAGTACTGGGGACAAAAAGTCCCGAGAGTTTACATTCAAATAACAGTGTCAGGTGTGATGACTTCTGAGCAGAGAAATAAAAGCAAGGTGAAAACTAAAAGCAGGATACTGGGCTAGGAAATGAAAGAGGTACACATTTAGATAAGAGAAACCAGAAAGTCTTTTCTGAGGAAGTGACACCTGATCAGGAACCTGAACAAAGTCAGGGAGGAAGCCACAGGAAGAAGAGGAAAGTGCTGGCTTCAGGCAGCTGGCTCAAAGGCTGCAGGGCACTGCACAGCAAGGAGCCCCGCAGTCCAGACTACAGAGAGCTGCAGGGAGAGAGGCCAGATCACTCGGAGCCCTCCTGGATTTATTCCAGGTATAGTGGGAAGTCAGGCAAGGATTTCAAGGAAAAGAAAGACCCAATCAGACCCGTGTGGCTGCAAACTGATGGGGAGCCAAGAGTGAAACCTGGACACTCAGGAGCCCCTGCAGGAGAAAATGATGGCTTGGACTGGGGTAGATGTGGTATAGGGAGAAATAGTCAGATTTAAAATATATTATTGATGTTAGAGCTAATTGGAACTGAGGGATGAATAGTTCATTCATATCAGTATTGTGTATCATAGTAAAAACACTTTTTTTTAGAGACAGTCTTACTTTGTCGCCCTCGGTAGAGTACTGTGGCATTATAGCTCACAGCAACCCCCAGCTTTTGGGCTTAGGCGGTTCTTTTGCCTCAGCCTCCAGAGTAGCTGGGACTATAGGCACTGGCCACAACACCTGGCTATTTTTTGTTGTTGTTGTTGCAGTTTGGCTGGGGCAGGGTTCAAACCCACCACCCTTGGTATATGGTGCTGTCTCCCTACTCACTGAGCGCTGCCCCATAGTAAAATTTTACAAACAACCTATATACCCCTATGAATGGAAGTGGCTACATAATTCTTGTATGTTCATATAACGGAATTTGAACAGTAGATCAAATGAATGGCAAAGCTTACTTGCATTGAGGTAGAGAAATCTTTTTTTGTTTTGAGACAGAGCCTCAAGCTATCACCATGGGTAGGGTGTCGTGGCATCTTAGCTCATAGCAACCTCCAACTCCTGGGCTCAAGCGATTCTCCTGCCTCTGCCTCCCAAGTAACTGGGACTACAGGCACCTACCACAACACCCAGCTATTTTTCAGTTGCAGCTGTAGTTGTTTGGCGGGCCCGGCTGGATTCGAACCCACCAGCTCAGGTATGTGGCTGGCGCCTTAGCCGCTTGAGCCACAGGTGCTGAGCCAAGGTAGAGAAATCTTTTTTTTTTTTGAGACAGAGCCTCAAGCTGTCCCCCCGGGTAGAGTGCTGTGGCATTACAGCTCACAGCAACCTCCAACTCCTGGGCCCCGCGCCCCCCCCCCCCCC